ATCTACAAAATAATGTCGTCTAACTGTACTGAAGTGTTATTCATCTCTAAAAGTCGAGTAGTATTGCCATATATATCTCAAAATAACTGCTTTTTTATACYCCTGAAGTGTCATATAACATTACCCACACAAATAAACGCTTTTKTACGGGAACCAAACACTTAGGTTTTTAGGTTTTGTTTTGGTTTTGATTCGCGTAAAAGTTTCGACTTCCGTCGAAAAGTACTTCAATGTTTTCACGCTGCGTCTCCGCCGTTTTCAAWATTCAAAATAACCTTTTACAAACTAAGGTCCACTGGAGTGCGCTCCGTCCGCAGCTAATGYGTCCAAATTGCGCTCAATTTAAACACGTCAAGCGCCTTGAKAATGTTATTTSAATGAACGCGCTGATGACAAGGCTGGAAATGGCAACAGAAGTCTACGATTAGGGATTGACTGGACGTCAACAAGATGTGAACAAGTGTATCCTCAATGGAGATGAGGTGCTTCCTCAAGGCAGCTTTCATGTCATATTAAAACTCATGATTAGCGCAAAAAATGACGTGTGCTAATTTGGCCAAGGTAGCTAATGTTAATTTGGTAAAAGATATGGTCTTATCGCACTGTTTATTGAACTTCTTAATGTGGGATTCTCACGATTTCACTTGCCATCAAGGGTGTTGGTTTTCGTATCAAAGCTATCGTTGATGATACGAAAATGACTTTCATGTCCACATGTTCCTAATGACGAGTTTCGAGAGGCGAAAATAGCAATTAACGAGGAGTATATCTAGGAATCTCTAGGATAATGTAATGCTATAATGATAGTTTCCTTTGTAAGGATTTAATGTTTAAAGTAACATTGTAATTTGCTTTTTTTGAATCTTTTTCATGGCCGAGAAATAAAACTACATTTAACTACCTTCTTGTTTCGGATTGATTTCAAAAAAAAATCAGGGTAAAAAGCCATCACATAGCACTACAATGCCGGAATTTCGTGTCCCTTTTTAAATCCCTAAAATTGCCTACAGGCATTAGATATCCACATACATTTGCACCTTGTAATCAACACTTAACTGGGTTTTTTTGAGATGCTATAACTGTTTTCGTAACATTTTACTGGCTTTCCAGATAACACTAAACTGGTTTTCTTTGGCTTCGTTTAACTAGTGTGCACTAACGCAGGCTTAGGAAACTGCATGTTTTTATAGCACACCGGYTTTTTGTGACACTGCAATGGCTTTCTTGTTTTCTGCAACTATTTACCCAAGTTTGAAATAACACGATATTCGCTTTTTTTCAGTTGCCAGCACTTCATTGGCGTCCTAACACTGCTTTTTGATTTCTTTTAGTTTCCGTATCGTATTCATGAATTTCTCCAATAAAGTATTTCAMGGCTAACAAGACCGTTACAATTTAATTACATTCGAAAGAACCATGTTATTACAAGTGAGTCTTCCTTCTTTCAATACCAATTCATTAACCACAGCCGACAAGGGAATAACTCTTAAACATGTCAATAGCTTTTTGTTGAATTAGTTCAATCAGAAAAGCTAACAATACGTGCCACAAAAACAGATAACACAAGTGCTGTATATGAATTGGCCAAATCTCAGAGAAGTACTCATCGATCACAGGCATTCTTGTTAATTTCAATGAAGTGACGAGCATTTAAATGGTTTCCAAGAAGATCTTTTCGTTTTTCGGCTTTCAAGTGCTTATGATATCACAAAGTATAGCGACTATAATAAACGGTTTTCTTAATCAGAGGATAACAGTGTTTTGGGAAATAACGTTCCGAAAACAACGGTAATTTTTATGCAAATCTCTAGCACAAATTGATACTTCAAAAGCGGACAGATGTCTAGTACTAAACCTAGCACTCAAATGGCTTCCAGTGGATTATCCCCTTGGTTTGATACCAAACACTCGAATGGTTTCCCGCCAGAGAAGCTTTGGGAAAATGCAAATCAAACAAAACTGACTCAAAAAAGTGGCCACCATGTTATGTTAAGGTTCCAACCTATCTTCTCCCACCACCTACCAGGAAGTCATGCGATCTTTATATTAGTTGGTTTAAAGAAACTCCCTAATTATTGTCTTGCCAGCCGAAATGCATTAGTAATTTCATTGATTCGGCGATCGTGAGCACTGAATCTTATGGAAACCAGGCTTTAGTGTTCTCAGAATTTTTAACTTGAAAATGGCCAATGATCGTAGCAACAACAAAAACTACCTACACATGAGAACTAATGCGGAGTATTGTTTGAAACAGAAAACTGAACGAATGAAAACAAGTTGAAATGAAGAGAAGAGAAAATTTACGAAGGACCATTCAATGAAAAATTATTCAGTTGCTGCAAAAATTGATAAAAATAAATCAATAAGTATAAGGTATCAAGTTAATGCCGATAAAAATAGAAAAACGAATTGATGACGGCAAAAATTCTACAGATCGAATATGAACTGAAAGAAAAAATGGAAAATGAATAAACAGAAAAATGAAATTGGAAATATTGAGTAAATGACYAATGGCTCCACAGAATTGAGCGTTCTATATAGAAATATTGAATGTAGAAAGGAAAAAAAAGAAACAAACAAACAAAGGGACAAAATCCTGAGAGAAATTTAAAAATGTAAAGCCAATTTTTGTTTACACCTAATTAAGAACGAGCTTTGCATATAAAGAAATAATATATAAATCATTTCTAGAGAAAAATGTTTATTACTGGGACAAAAGAGATTGCTAGCTCAGTTTAAGTGATCTTCTTTTGTCCTTTAATTAATCCATCGCCACTAAATCATAAATGCTCAATTAGCGAATAAAAAAATGCCTCATTTCTGAGGCCATATCGAACGCAATCGAGAAAGAAAACACAAAAYAAAAACTTAGAAATAAAACTTAAATAAATATATAACGAAACTACAAAACAATAAGCAGAATTGTGTTCAATCTCGACGAAATAACGACTCATTCGACGCATTGGCAAAGAGTTGATAAAATGGGAAAAAGAAAGCGAAATTGTATGACTTGTGTATACTGCGTGAGAGGAATTTAGACATCAATGTCAACAGTATAAAGTTGTTTCTTGCGTTATAAATCATGGAGTAAAAATACCACGAACGCACACAWTCGATAACCAGATTGATCAAGATGTGTATTAAAACAAAGATAGAACCATTCGATAAAGAGAAGACTGAAATGCCATACATAATACATGCAAAATGTTTTAATTTCTCCGTTTCACCTGATTCAACAACGAAAACGATTTGGACAAATCTCACCTGTCTTAAAGTATCATTCCGAAAAAAAAAAGTGATTTGAAGACTTTTTAGAGCCGAAAAAGAGACCGCAGGCGGTGTGGCTTTGAACGCTGGCAGGGAAACACACATTGGAACTTTTGTTGAGCAAATTACGCCAATTCATCCGGTATTCCAGCTCAAGAAATGAGCAAATTTTGCACTCAAAAGGGCACCGATTAGACGTTCTAGAACCATTCAAGRTCATATAATTGCTTGGTTTGTACCGATGCTATAATAGAAAACCAGTTGAGGCGGCGGAATTAATTCCGGTGAGCAAAACAAAACGTGTAATAATATTAGGGACCTGCAGACATCGGTGGGTATCTAGACCAAGATATCTTGTATAAACAAGCCGTTGGGTGAATTCAGGGAATTCTGCTTTCTTTATTCTAGTGTAGATTTGATAATTGGTGAAGATATCGATGATGAGAAGCGTGTTTTTGTGTGTGTGAAAAACAACCAAACTGATAGAGTTAGTGATTGGAAATCCGGAAATATGTTATTGTTATTTAAATTTAAGGCACACTATGTAATAACAGAATGGCGTGTCAGTTGTGCTTTGGGCTGCTATCACAGCCATAACGGACGACAATCATGCGCGCGAATGAGATAAAAATACAGATAAAAAAACAGAGGTCAAGAAAATAGAAACGAGGAAGAAAGGATAGAAATGTAAACACGAGGGACTAGATAACGAAGGGTATAACGTATAAAGAAAAAGATGAAATCTTTGGTCGAATTGCTGAGCGTTATGTATGAGAGAAAATAAAAATCGTTGAGGTAGTAAGAAATGTGAGAAATTCTACAGAAATAACCACAAGCGTATACATACAGAAGTACAGAACTATGAAATCCAGCGCGTACTTTGGCGCTAGCACCTTAACACTGGCACACGTTTGCTTGCGATTATGTAGTTTTAAGTATTCAACTGCCAAGAGATGTTTATGCTTGTGCACAAGCATGTGTATATGACCGAAATTGCATGGGCTGAGATAAGTTAAAGGAAAAAAAATCAAAACCAAAAGAGAAAGGAAGAATAWAAACACAAGAGAATGTACAAGTGAAATTGAAATCTCAAACAACTCAARGCAAAACAAAATGTGCAAAAATAAAGGAAAGACAAACGAAATTGAAAGGGAAAGAGAAGGAAACCAAGAGAACAAAATTGAGCGAGCAAAAAAAATAGATGAGTTTGATGAACAAATAGAGTTGTAACGAAAACAATGAGAAAATAAAAGAATGTGAAATGAAAGAAAATGTCAATAGAATACGCCAGGAGCTATAATATAGCTTCATTTCTACGCGYTCCCTGATTGGTCCACMAGCGTGCTTTATTCATCAGTAATGCATGCTCTCATGAGTATGTAACACTTTATATTCTAAAARCAATAAGAGATGGTCCGCCTTGTTTTATGGTTGAATGTTTAAAAGTTAAAAAAGGCCAAAAATCGGCTACGTTTGTGTGATAAAAAAAAGACTTTGCCAACATTCAAGTGCATTTTGTTGTACTTKCTAAACTAAAGCAGTTTTTCTTTTGTGGCTTAATAAAGCACAAGAAAAAGAGAAAAGAGGTGAAAGAAAAGAAAAAGAAAAACTAGACGATGATGTTAAAGAAAGGAGAAAATTATATATTTTAAAAAGCAGGAAAGAATGAAATCAAATAAATATGAAACGAGAAAAAATGAGCAAATAAGCCCACATAGAGCCAAAATACATACTGAAAAGTGCCCAAGAGATTTCCAAGTAGCGACGAACACACAAATCCCCAGCCTTTCCTTTCAAAACGTCCCATCAACAATAATCAGTTTGCTCATAAACGCTCTCTATATAAGAAATAATCGTCTCTAATTATTCCGAATGATACTTGTTTACGTTCTGAGAGCATTTTGTCTCATTAACTTTCCTAAATGTACTCCCCTTTCAACGTTGACATGTTGAGACTTTGATAATGTAGACATCTCGCGAAAAACGCTGTCTGTTTATCAGCGTTTTTCCACTTAGCAAGCAAACGAGTGGTCAAACGGCAAAGATATAAATGTAGCATTTTGTTTGCACTGGGTGATAGTTGGAGTACAATAAAGAAAACATAAAGATTTCAAGCAAACATTACTTCATATTTACGAAGTTTTTTTTGGTGCTAACCTAAGCTCACAACAGCCTGTCGATGTAATCTCGAAGCAAAATTATTATTAATTGCTTGAGAATTTAATCCCTTCTTGTTTCAAATGAGCCATCTATTTTCATCCCTGKAATACTGATAACGAACGTCATGTAGCCATATTGCGAAATACAATCTAAAAAGCTCTTTTTGAAGGTAGAATTAATATAGGAACTTTACTCAATCATATGAAGTGAGTGCTTGTTGGGTTTATTGCTTTTTTCCCTTAAAGGTGTCGGGAACAACTATGGACGGTCGTTGATAAAAATAATGCACGGAGTGTTTAATTTTATAAAGCAAAACTAAGGCGAGGTTTAGTAGATTGAGCATCTGATATGCCAAGAATAGTATAAAAATATAGGCCAGGTTTTGAGAAATTTGAAATACCGACAAATGAATAAACACAAAATGATTATTGAACGTAATAAATAATTTCTAGAATCAAAAATAAAACTACGAAAAGTAGTTTTTCAAAAATTGGAAATGATTACAAATGAAGAAGGAATC